TCCCACAGCTAGGAAGACTGTTATGGAGAACAGCGATGTATGTGAACACGCGACAGCATCCACGGTTGTTTGATTCTACAAAACTGTTTGCAAGTAACTTTACTTGAAGTATGTTTTGGGTATCTTTGTACTCACAAAAGACTGTTCATGGCAGCAGTGTCCAAGTTGCTCTTACTCAAACGTTTGCTCTTCTTGTCCGGGGCAGATAACGCCCCTAGGTCGAAAGGAGATCAAGGCAAAGGATCTTGTCCGTCAGCTGCAGTTAGAAGCTGAGGAGCAGAGGAAACAGAAGAAGCGTCAAAATATCTCTGGATTGCACAGGTCAGTATAATAACGTTATATTGGGAGCCATTTCCTAGGACTAACTCATCATTTCCATGTGCTAGTGGCTTTTCTCTTGTAATCAGCTGTATCCCCGTGATAACACCTTGTTGAATTTTGGTGCTCTCAATCCCCTCTGTGGTATGTGGGGCTCAGGAACACTATTCGTTTTGTCACTGTTTTCTGTCCAGCTGCTGGTTCACTCACGTTTTACTTCTCTTTCTTGGCAGATATCTTCAGTTACTGGATGGCAAAGACAACTATCCATGTCTTGTGGATGCCGAAGGCGTTGTTATTTCTTTCCCGCCAATAACCAATAGTGAAAAAACAAAGGTATAAACAATTAGTCCCTGTTAGAGTGGGAGCACCTCAATCAGAATCGAACAGTGATTTATTTTTTTCCACCAAGGAATAATTAGCTCCAGACTCCAAGACATGCAGAGCCTGTGAAGCTTATGGTCACATTCCAAATGCCAATCTCCATTGCATGAACTCTCTGAGCTAGAGTATCAGATTGAGGTGAATCTTAAGGGGTTAAATTTTACATTTGCAATTTGCAAAGCTATGGCAAGCTGCTCCAAAGGTACGGGTTTTCCTTTGCAGATAAATCTTTATTGAATGGCAAAGGGAAGGGCAGGACTACAGATTGGTACTGTAAAGAAAGGGAGCACTTAGCATGTGGTCTGAATGCCTCTCCTTCAGCTCATGTATTTTGAGAAATTTTGCCAAATAACAGAGTATGCTCTGACTCTATACTTGTTTTACCTCTTGAAATCCTTCCAGATTAAGAAAAGCACACGTGATCTGTTTCTAGAAGTGACAAGTGATGCCAGTTTACAGATATGCAAAGATGTCATGGATGCACTGATTCTGGTAGGTAATCCAGTAAGATAATCTGATTTGTTCTTGGGTGCTTCTTAGCGAAATGTTTCAGTGCTCGCACGTATTGCAGAAGAGCACAGAAGTTGTTTCTTTATTTCCTCTTCTATTTGTGCTGTATTTCAGGAGATTTCTATATGCTTATTTCCTGAGTGACTGGCAGACTTTAAAAACTTGCCAGGGATAAATTACGTTGTGTTACCACAGTTGGAAATAGATGGTGTGTCTTTTGACACCTTCAGGTTTAGTAGGTGCCCAGTAAAGATACAGCAGTGGCAACTTCACTAGTTCTTTCAGTTTCCATAAAGATTTTAACCCACCAAATAATGTTTTTGTGCCAAGAGCCCTTCAGGGGCAGGCAGGCCAAATTGTATCTCAAAAACAACTTTGAATTGCTCAGAGAGCACAGATGCAGTGTTCATACTTAGTTTAATCTTGTTTTCTATATTTTGCTTTTAACAGAAAATAGCAGAACTAAACAGATTCACCTTGGAAAACAGGGAAGACGACTCCGGCTCAGATAATGAATCTGATGCTCTTTGTGGGCCTGTGAATTTGAATCCTGGGCAAAATGTGCAGCAGACGAGTTCTCCGTTGGTGGTAGAGCAGGTTCGAGTGGTGGACACAGATGGGAACTTGAAAGTACTTTATCCTTCAAAAACTGACCTAGCCACAGTTTCTTCTCTTCTGACTGTAATGCGCTAGCAGCTGTTAATCTAAGAGCAGGATTCGGTTTTCATCTTTTTCATGTTCAAGAATGCAACTTGCACACAGTGAGATTGTTACTTTTTAAGAAAAGTGCAGTGTATCCTGCCTTGGTATGTAAAACTTTCAACTTTGATCAAACTATGTGAAAGAGGGTTGCATTTTTTCAGCCATAATAAAAATTTACCACTGGTAATTACCTCTTTTGAGCTCGGCAATGGTGATCTCTCTAGCACGTTTTAATAACAATGCTGTCTTAACATGCCCCAAAGACATGGACTATTTAATTTTGACAGGTTTGCAAGACTGACCTGATCCTAATTAGAGAAACTTAGCAATGCATCCTCACACGTATGTGATGAACAGTTTAATTGGTCAGTAAGGCACTGTCTGAAAACAAAGCAACAGGAGCCTGGAGGTGCTGACACGTATTCTGACTGTCTCAGCTGTGAAGATTCGTTTTCAGGCATCAGATGACACTACTTTTGGGGACTCTTTCTGCTACTCCTGGAATTGGGGAGGGATGAAGCAGGTGTGTCGGGGCTGTAGAGAGATGGGACCTTGACGCCCTTCTGTTTCAGCATCTGATGGAACTCCATCCGTTCGTTAATAATTTTCTGAAAATCAGAGATGTGCAGAGCGATACGTTAGGCTGACAGTGGTATTTTCTTGTCTCATCAGCTCCGCGCTAGCTCAGAGAAGCAGAGCTCCAAGGACTCACATACCTGCATTGCCTCCAGCACCTCCTCATCAGTCAGTTCTGCCTGGGGACACTTGCTGCCTGCAGCACTGAAGGTGGCCTGAATTATTTTGCTTCGGTATCTTTCAAACTTGTGATAAAATAGGAAAGTAGGTATGTTCAGTCTTTATGTGAGACTGCCCGGCACTTTCATGGAGCTTACTATGAGCCAGAGGTACTTAGGGGTCTTCTATGCTGTCACACTTGAGAAAAGCTGCTAGTGAGTGCTGAAATGGGAAGCCCGTTCTTGTGAAATGGCTACAGTTCAGCACGGGCTCCACCTGGAGCTGCACATACTTTGTGGTAATGATGTATTTCCAGGTGGAGAAAGTACCTTCCCACGGGAGGCGAGTTGGGCCCCCAGGGAGTCTGCAGCGCCCTGGTTAGGTCCCCTGTGCTGCCACCTGGGAATGGCTCTAAGCTTTCTGATTCTCTGCTTGAAATGGCTGAAGTGCCTCTTAAGAGGGAGGGAGGAATGGGAAGTGAAAGAGGCTGCATTTACCCTGCTGGAGATGCTTTGGAGGGCTACTTTAGTTTGCTGCTCCATGTGCTGCAGCAGGTCGGCTTGGCTCTGGATTGCCTCCTGTGCCCGTTGCTGCTCCTGGATGTGGTACTCGTTGACCAGAACCTTTGCCTGCAGCTGGCTGACTGCGCTCTGCAGATCGCTGATGAGCTGGTTCTGCTCAGCCAGTTTGGATTCTTGTTGTGTCACAGTCTGGGGAGACACATAAATCAAGCCCTTAAGAACGAGTGAGGAAGGTGGTGATCCGGCTCAGCCACATCTTCCCCGTATCTGGTCCAAATCCCTCTCATATTTCTCAGGATTTGCAGACTTAAGAAAGCTTGTCAGCACCAGGAACCGTTACTACTTTGGGATTTTCTCCAAATCTACTGTGCTGAGTAATACTTTTATTTAGAGCAGCTAGAAGCAGCACTTTTGCTATTAGAAAAATAACCAGGCAGTGAAATAAACTTGGGAATCAGATGTTCACAGTAACTTAACTGGATTTTTTTCATGAGACAGATGCCCTCAGACCTGAAACAAGCATAGCTAGCTGAGCCACCAATGCTAGAATTTTCCATAATTCATCATGGGACTTTGCACCACATTCACCTGTCGAAGACTGCAGTTCTCCCTCTCTATTGTTGCCATCATTTCTCCATGCTTCCGTTCTTCTCTCAGGCTGCAAAACTAAAAAGATTTTACGCCTCAGGTTTGCAGTTCGTACCTGGACTTGCTGCCTCGCTAGAAGGGGAGCTGTTTCCCAAAGAGCAGCTCCCCTGCTGCCACCCCCGTGGGCAGCCGCCGTCCCTGCGCCAGGGCGCTACCTTGGCAGACATGGCCTGGAGCTGCTTCTCGCGCTCTCTCAGCTCCTTTTGCAGTGTTTCCTTTTCAGATTCGGTTCTCCGAAGCTGGGACTCTTGGATCTCCAGTTGTCTTTGCAAGGCAGAGAGGGCACCTGTAAATTTGGAGTACTGCCATAAGTGAGCTGAATCCCTGTCAAAAACTGCAAGAAGCTTTTTCTTCAGGTAAGTATAAGCAGACCTGCTTATAGACTGCGGGTGAAGCTAAAACTACAACCACAAGGAGACAAATTAATATTTCGTGGTACTTTGCTGTCATATATAATAAACTCATATAACCTCATTTTGTGAGTAGAAGCTGTTCTTAGGGCTAGTTTGGCCAGTAATGTAAACACAAGTGTGCCAGAGAGCCCAAACCCTTTCGGGTACCCCAGGATGCTGGTCAGGACTTTTTGTACATCATTTCCTCGTGCATGTCTAGGAGGAGGCCTCAAAGTAAGTGTCAGTTCTGAAGTACTCTGAAAGCAATGAGCGAAAACAGGAGGTTTTCCCCTCCTGAGAACCTAGGCTAGGGTTTTTTTCAAGGTAAGTAGATTTGCAATAGAACAAACTTGGTAACTAGTAGCAATGGTGGCAGGCACCCAGCTCCGCTCCCGGGGTACCTGTGGCCATGCTGTAGTCGTGTTTTGTCTTGTGCAGCTCTTGGCAGAGCTCCTGCTTGGCTTCCTGCAGGTCAGCGACCTGGGCCCGCAGCTCCTGCTCTCCTGCTCCCGGCGGCTCCCGAAAGGCCCCGGCAGCCTCCGCCTCCCCGAGAGCTTCCTCGGCACCCTCGGTACCTGGGCTCTCCTGCTGCGTTTCTGTGTGCTACAAAGAGAGGGGAGCAGGGACTTCTGAGGCGTTAATAAAGCCTTGTGCAGCGACGCACGGATTCACAGCTGGAGCCGAAATGTTTTAGGGAAAGCTGGTGTGTTATTGCTTAGCCCCCGAGGAGGTGCGAGGAGGGCAGGTTCCATGGGCATAATCAAGGGATTCAGTGGGATTTCCAGACCCTGTAGCGATTGCTAGTTTTCTTGCTTGGGCAAATGGACAATCTTGAAGTCTCAGATTTTATCATGATACTTGCATTGTAATGGTAAGCAAGCCACTTTCTCTCTCAAACTTGTCCCGAGGCTGCTTTGCCCTACACTGTCCACTCTCGAGCTTGCTAAACGAAAAACCTTTGACTCCCCGTTACCAGTGAGCAATCGTGAAAACACATTTTTCTGCAAGGGAAAAGGGAGGGCGCCAGGAGCAGCAAGAAGCCCCAGCAGAGGGGACGTGGCCCGTTCCGCAGAGCAGCCAGCGCCGTTACCGCCTGCGCGACGCCGGGGCCCGGGC